CCCTACGTTTTTTTTTTTTTTTTTTTTTAATAAATTTGGACCATTTCTCGATTTATGCGCATGGGCCATGCTAATCTTCTTTCTCTGTATCGTTCCAATTCTGACGGATGTCCCGAAGGACGTGGCCTGTACATTTCTCGTCTGAGGATTCGTGAGGAATCCGGCCGATTCCGGCGAATCACTATTACCACCTTCTCGGCCGCCTTCCTCTGCAAATAGAATGTACAGCCATCATCGCCGTATCTAGACTGATAACTGGTCCAAGTACAGCCAAAATGACCGTACGTTCAACTCAGGGGAAGACGGTACTGGTCAGACTGTCAATTGCTGAGCGGTGATGAAACGTGCAAAGTGTCTGCGCATTTACTTTTTTTTTTTTTTTTTTTTTTGCCGTTGGTTTATTTGGTGTCCGCTCTGTGGACTGGTGACAAGTCTGCCTTAAAAGGTGTGGGGTGTTTGTTATAATGACCCTGAAAAAATCCTGAAATTTTGGGCCTCTGTTAACGGCCTCTCGGTCATGTAAGTTGTGTGCAGTGTTGTATACGAGAATCACACGCGCAGAAAATTGGGCCAACCCTGCAGACGGGGAAAAAAGAGATGTCACCATACCAGTCTATCAGATCGTGAACCTGTGTAGCACACCGAACATGTTCGGATCTTTTCCGAACGCCACCCGAACGTGTTCGGCCGAACATATTCCAAAAAAAAAAAAAAAAMAACCCTTTTTTTTTTGGTTTTTGAGTTTTGACTCAGAGTTTGGTTACGAATTTTGAGCATACCTCCAGGGCAAAAGTTGTTTGTATTATTACTTTACATAACATATATCTTCTCAGATTTTTTGGAGAACTTTTTTTTTTTAATTATTAAATATGTTTATGTTCGCATTCGGAGAGTTTCGGCGCTCGTTCGCGTTCGGTCCCGAACGTTCGGGTTCGGTCACCGAACCCGAACACGATGCTACACAGTCGTGAACGCAATGAAGCAATCGAAAAAAAGGACAGGCCTTCCTGTAAAACCAGGGACACTTGTTTCTCTTCTAGTTTTCAAAGGTAGCTGTGGTTTAAGGAATATAAGCCTTGTGCTAGGCTACCAGAGTGGCCCGGGGTCACTTGCCCGGCCGGGCGAAAAACAATTAAAAAATAAACATAAAAATAAAAAATAATAAAAATTTTATTTTTTATTCTAAATTTGGTGCAGAATTTCGATGTGACCCTGAGGCAAAAGTTGTTCAGTTTATTTTTCTGCATAACATAGTTTTTTTTTTCGGATTTTTTGGAATTTTTTTTTTTTTTTGGCTGGGACCTTCCCTGGTCCTTGCACGGGCTTGCCACCCGGGACCCGGGCAGCCCGGCTGGTCTGACCCATTTTGCCTACCGATCTACAAGAAAATGGCTACAAATTGCTTTGGAAATCCTAATCATTTTGTACAATGCCCAATCATGCCTCCATCCAATAGAATCACAAGAAAAATGATGAAAATTTTAAACGTGGAACTCGGCCATCCCGAGTGTCCACCCTTGCCGGTTCTGTCCTGCAAAATCCCCCCATGGGGTAACAACCAACTTTAATGCTTTTGCCGCCGAATGGCGGACTATTGCGATTTCCGGCTCTTTTCTGGTCAATCAACTGCCATACGGTCTTCCTGCCGGTTAACATATAATGGGGTTACTGTTTCTCTTTTTATTTTTGAGGCTTTTACGTTCAAATCACACCCCAGGTTCGGGAATGCGCAAGTTTAGCAGTCCTGAAAAAATGGCAAGAAAGTGAGGCTTCGTTTCCGTGCGTCCCCCGCCGCCCCCCCCCCGACACGTGCGGATACCCCCGCACGGGCGCACAGCACGGCACGGCTGTGTGCGGGTTGGCCGGTCAGGTCCCGTGCGGACTTGGCCAGAAGGCCTTGGGGGGGCAATTTCAGGGAGGCTGGGGGCCAACCGCCCTCCCGCCGTCTCCCACCACCTCCAACCTCTGAGACACAGAGTCGGCGAGACCCCACCCAACCCTACCCCCCTATGCCACACTTGAAATACTGGTGTGGCAAACAAGTACAACCAGGGCAGATTCGGGCAGATCTCTGCAGGCGCAGCACAGGCCCATCACCGGAAAAAGGAAAACGAAAAACGTTAAAAAAAAAGCTTGCATGGGTGACCCATGCAGCCGCCTGGGGCGTGCAGGCTGCACAGGTGCACTGCCACGCTGTCCCGGCCGGGCGGCACCGGAAGCCTAGCAAAAAAGGCACCAAATGTCAGACGGGACAGAGGGGAAAACATCACGGCCGTGAAAGAACCATAGGTGTCGTAACGACAGAGGCGGGCCGTGGTGTCAAATGGGAAAGGGGAAAGGGGAAAAAAAAAAAAAAAAAAGGGGGCAACTGGCAAACGCTAAAATTGCACATTTCCAACTCACGCCATGACTACAGCGCCATTTTGTCTTTTCTTGCCTATTTCAAACTAGAAGTGTGACGCGGCCACAGTTTCCTCTTTATTTTTTTTTTGGTAGCTGTGGTTTAAGGAATATAAGCCTTGTGGCAAAACTGTATGGGTAATGTATATGATACAAGAACCAGTACAAAAATTGCTACAAAATGACAAATTCCTTTCGCCGACTATTGCGATCGGCTTTTCTTGTCAATCAACTGCCAGAGGGTCTTCCGCATATCTGTTACATACGAGGCTGTTATAGCCCCGTTGATTGCTTCCAGTAGCTGGCCTAGACGAGGCAAAGCGAATAGCCCTCTGCCGTCTCCTCCTCCTCCATCACTGGTTGTCTGTGCTATCACTGCAGAGCATATCAGTTCTGCCATGACCATCACGTACATTCCGCAATCGTAGCCGTTCGATTGGAGAGCGGATGGTTTTGCAGTGATCCGCGGTTTCGCCAAGCCCGGCGGTCTTAGAGACTTCCAGACAGCGTCCGCCAAACTGCATGCATGCTGAAAGTTCATTCCTCCGCCGGAATCGAAGTGATAAAACTCGTTCGCTACCCGGAAATAGACGAGAAGGCTCCAGTGCGATCCGCCCTCCGGCACGTGCACCGCCTCGTTGTTGTTGACCACAAAAACTACGACCTGTCGCTCTGCAACATTGAATCTGTGCGTCAGACTCCTCTCAATGTCTTCGTCGTCGCCACAATTTGAAAGCCAGAACGACAACGACGGCTCGATTAGCACTGTGCTCTCACAACCCCGCAACTTCTCCGTCGAGAGGTACTCGAAGTAGAATTCTATGATCTTGTCATTTATCCAGTAGGGACCCGTCAACAGATCGACGTCGCATCTCCGGAGGAGTACATCGCCATAACTCAGAACCTTCTTCTCCGATGCGCGCGCTCTTTTGGTATTCGTATCCGAAGCCATTCGACGTAGCGAAGGCTCTCTAACTTCCACCACTCGACGTATTAAATTTTTCTTTGTTTTTTTTTTTCTCGTCGTCTTTTTCGGAAGTTTTTCCACTGCGTCGGTTTCAAGCTGCTCTTGTTGGGAGAGAGAGGGGAGACTAAATCAGAAACTCTCATCTGCCACCCATTTTCTTTGTTGTTTTTTCTCGTCGTCAACACGATGAAGACAGATGCAACCTCCACGCGTCTTCTCGTCCAACAAAGTTATAAAAGTCATCAAACACAAAAACATTCAGGACAGAAACACAAGCCAAGGTCAGTAGCCAGTATATTAAACCCAAAAAAGGAACAAGAAAAAAAAACAAAAAAAAAGGGGCACAGTGCCCACGGCTTTCATATCGTATCAACACTGGGGATGAGGCCAGAAACATCACAACTCTCTGGCCGCCGTGGACGGAGAAAAAAAAATAACACTCGGGCCATTTCCCAGCTTGGGTTCTTGATGGAAACAGAAAACCAGAGAGTTCTTTCCCTATCACCACGATACCGCTGGGTCCGGGACCATATATATAAATGGATGGCTTGGATACTGGTATGGTTCCACTTTTGAGGACCAAGACCGCGTCCTGGCTGTAGTGGTTAAGAGACTTGGCTCTTGAGGCCGAGGTCGCCGGTTCGAATCCGTGTTTGCACGAAGGAGGGCTTAGGCCCAGATGACCAGATCGATAACTACTACTTACCACACCACAACAGAGAACCAGAGAGGTTATATACCTCCAATAATACTACATTGGTCAGATTTGATCACTTTTTTTTTTTTTTTTTTTTTTTTNCACGCCCCCACCAGTGTTGGTGGTGCTGATAAGAGCAGACACCACTAACACTACGGCTGCTGAGCCAGAAGGTTCACATCCCATCTCCTTCCACAACGCCCTTCACCAGCATCACCTCTTTGTGCCAAGTTCCACCAAGTTCCATCAATATGATCATTCAAATTTTCACAAAGTTCCATCAAGTTCCACCAAGTTCCATCAATTTGATCATTCAAATTTTCACAAAGCTCCATAAAAAAATTGATCATTCAAATTTTCTCAACGTTCCATCAATTTGATCATTCAAATTTTCACGAAGTTCCATCAAATTTTCACAAAGTTCCATCTATTTTTTTATCATTCAAATTGTCACAAAGTTCCATCAAATTTTCACAAAGTTCCATCAAATTTTCACAAAGTTCCATCAAATTTTCACAAAGTTCCATCAATTTGACCATTCAAATTTTCACAAAGTTCCATCAGATTTCACCGAGTTCCACCAATTTGATCATTCAGATTTCCACGAAGTTCCGTCAACTTAGCCACAGCCAAAAGTACAAAAGTACAAGTCAGCTAGCAGGACGGCCAAAACCCACGTCTTTTTTTTTTCTTTTTTAAACCAGACTTCATGCAGCCTAGCGTCGTGATCCCCATGCCTCCTTAGACCAGAAGATCCTTGTCCAAAACCAGACCACCTTCCCAAGCCAGATTTCTCTTTTCCTTTTTTTTTTTCTTTCTTTCTTTTTTTTTTTTTGTAGGTGCTCACAGAACCCAGCACCCACCCCTAGCCAGTCTTGATGCAACATAGAGAGACCCCATCTGTACAGCTGCTGGGCCAGAAGATACCTTTTTCGTACTCGTTTCCCCCCTCCACCATTCATTGACACCACCCACCAATCAAGCTCAAAGCTAAGAGTTGCCTGGAAAAACACCATGACACCCAAGAAAACAAACACAGCCAGCAAAACAACTCAAGACCACCAACCATACTAACCATGGTCAAACTCGATGCAAGTCTAGACATGGATTCTTCGGAGTCCAGTAATGAGCCTAGCTCAGTTGGTACACCCATGAACACGAACTGTTGGAATACGGACCCAAGATCGAATCCAGTCACAATCTTGAAAGGCGTTCCACGATTCAGACCCCAAATTCGAGTTTCAGGGTTCAGGTCTTAGGCCAAGTCGGTCAGTTTCAGAGAAGTCACAGTCGGGTAGGTACTAGGCTACTAGATACAAGTAGAGTTTAGTCCTTCCGTCTAAGTCATACCTTGGCGCAACCCCTGAGGAGGGCCGGTACTCTGACGGACAGGTCGAAACAGCTGTCGGGTAATCGTCAGCGAGCTTCACGTCTATGGCGTCATGCCTACTTTCGTTTCACTGAGCTTATTGCAATATCATGCGAGCTGATGCGCTCGGGGGATTATTCTTACTTGCTTGTCCTTCTCTACCCTCTTTCTGTGTATCTTGCTTCTGTGTATCTCGCTTCACATGCTTTCAGTGTATTGCACTTGGCTGATGTATGTTGCATGATTTCTACTACTACTTCTACCCGGTGAACAGTCACATCCCAGACTCAGGCAAAGTTTGCATTCCATAATCAAAAGTCACGTCTCATATTGACGAGTCATATTGAAAAGTCACATCCCACGCGCAAAAGTCGTGTCCCAGAGGCAAGAGTCACAACCCACAGTAAAAAAAGTAAACCCACAGTAAAAATAAAGTTAACCCACAGTTAAAAAAGTAAACCCACAGTAAAAAAAAAGTTAACCCACAGTAAAAAAAGTAAACCCACAATAAAAAAAGTAAACCCACAGTAAAAAAAGTCACGTTTCACAAGTGAAGAGTCGTGACTCACAGGCCCAAGAAGTAGCACACGAATGGAAATTCGGGACAAGTACCAGGCCCTGACATTCTGAAGCAAACAGGCCGTACGGATGTGGGGTACCACTACCAAGGCAAGCCCAAGAAGCAGAGAGGCTGGGACGAGTTGAAGCTCAGTCCAAGACAATATAAGGACTGGCCAGACTCCTCTATTGGTGAGATTGTTCGTCCGCATGAGGTGTGGAAGTGCTGGTGCACTTGTGCGTTATTGTGAGGAGCTGCGCTAGTAGAGGGAGAGAGAGGGAGCAGCCATAGCTGCCCAGCGCTGGGAGAGGGAAGGCGGCCATAGCTGCGCCAGTGCTAGTAGTTAGTAGTAGACCTCAGAGGGGTTAGTAGAGTTAGCAGTGGACGTATTCAGAGTTGGTCCTGGAGTATAGCGAGTGTGAGTGCATGCTAGTAGGGAGAGAAGACACAGGGAGGTAATAGGCAGAGAGAAGATCAAGAGGGAAGAGAGAAGAGCGGTGGAAGAGACACTTACCTGAATGAAGATACTGGACACCTGGATCTGCGCTGTTGAGCACTTGTGATTGGAACTCTTAATTTTGCTCATATGATAATTTGTTGAAGATTCTAAAGCTGCGCTTACCTGGTCTTCATCTCTCTGGCCTCAAGTGTGAACTGCATGTGATCTCATTCGTGTTTGGTGTGTGATTGTGTGCGCTCATTGGTGGTGAACTGGGAGGTTCACTGCAATCTGATGACCAGAATAAAAATTATAAAATACTTCTGAAATTACCTGGGGCTGTTCAGTTCAACGATGATACCTCAAGGCCGTTGCCCTTTAAATTAAACACACACACACAAAAAAAAAGAAAAAAAGAAAAAGAGGAAGAAGATTCTTCGGAGTCGGGGGGAGCTGTAAAGTTCTGTCTTACCACTGGGCCATTTCCCGGGAACCCCGCCAGACTCGTGACGGGTTATGTGGGCCGAGTCGGCGCATCGTGGGAAGGTGGTACGTTGAGCCGGTGTTACGTTGCATGGGGCTCGAGTCAAATTGATGTATCAATTTCACCTCACACTACCTACCTACCACTGCTCCTAGCTATAGTCATACGGGGAACCCCGTAGACTCAGCTTGTGCTACTGGTGGAGGTGATATGAGCTCCCCCCACTAGCAGCACCGACTCTCTTTGCATCGGAATTATCGATATCGAGTTATTCTCTGTTTGCTTGCACTGGATTTACTACTGCCATCAAGCACCGCTACCTGCCAGGAAATCGAACCTGGAGGGGGTGGCGGTCAGTACTGTACTGAAAAGTTTCGTATCAAGAAGATGGGAGGACGCTGCGTCAGGTGGGTCGGGTGGATCGAGCAGTGCTGGCGACGAACGGCAACGTAACTATGACCCTCTGGCAGAAAGACCTGCTACAAGTGTGGAGAGAGGCATCACTTTGCTGGGATGTGTGCTGAATATTAGCAGGCGAAGGCTCGTGGAGTGCTCTTCATCCCACCACCAACTGGAGCTGCAAGGACCGGAAGAACGATGAATTCAGGCCCAGATAAGAGAAGCCATATTCGGCGGACAGCGGTCAGGCGCGACTGGAATCGGATGACAAGAATTCCCTGAGGAGGGAATATCTGCTGCAAATGGCGTAAGAGAGGAGGGAACAGATTGAAAGAGAAGCGAGAGAAGTGGAGATGAGAAGAGAAGAGGGAGCGCGTTTGGCGAAACAACGAAGACGACTTGAAAGGAGAGACGAAAAAAGAAGATACGAGGATGATCGTGATTCGAGATGGCTTAGGCTGATCATGTCAGACATGTGTCGAGATGAGGAAGACGACGCCGCAACGTTTGCGAAGAAAGGAAAAGGTGTGGAAAAGAGGAACGGATATGGGGAGACGAGACAAGAAGAGAAGGAAAGACTCTTGCGACTGATAGCAATGTATGAAGAGGGCACGAACGCAGATGCAGAGGACGATGAAATACTGGGGTTGAGACGGCGAGCAGCGGGCCTAAAAATCAGCGAGAAGAGAAACGTGCGGCGGATACTGCGATTGGGAACAGTCCACCGATGTTGACTGCAACGAAGGAGCAGAAGGTTGGACTAAGTGCAGAAGCGAAGAATAGGATCAAGGAGTGGGCACAGCCTCTGCTTCAATGAAACGCTATTTTACACCAGAACTGGAACCGGTCAGGGAAATTGGCCTGTCGTCGCTGTCGATCAAATATGTAACAGTGCGTGCCCGCCCACATCTACTCCCAGCTCGGCTTTCGTCAATTACCAGTCCTGCCGCCGGTAGTCACACTGTCACATTATTGCCCGACAACAACCACACGCTCCACGACTTGAAATAGCGCCAGCGTATGGCACCATTCAGGTCGCAGCGACGACTCCCTCTGGTATCTCACTGTCCTGAACTTAAGTCTAGAACCACCCTTTTCCATACCTCCCCTCCCCTCCCCCTCCCCACCCCACCTAACCCCACCCCACCCTGGAACTCGAAGGAGGAGGTTAGTACAACATTGGTTGCATCTTTCCATCCGAAAAAAAAAAGGATGGAAAAACCTAAGCATGCAACAGAAACACAAAACAACACACAAGCAAGAGCA